TTTAAAAACAGAAACAAATGCTTCTGCGTTAAAAGGAACAATCAGATCATGATGACATGTACCGCAGACGAACTAAACAAACACATTATCAGACGGGTTAAATGATGACCATGTGTCACTGGGCCTTGACAGCCAAACCACCTGACTGATGCTTCTGTAGCATCAGGTCTCACATTGCATGCATGGAAAGATCAACCTCACCGTGACTTCACAAGTCTCTCACTCTGATAGCCGTGCATCTGCCCACATCATCTCAAAACCTCCCATTGTCATCTAAAAAACAGATCCATTATTTAAGGGTTGCGATGGTATTTGTGGGCTTGTCATCAGCCGGCAACAACATGGCACTGATTTCAGGTGACATGTTTTATTGATTTGGTTTTGGTGAGATGTGACAGGAGTTTGCTCTTCTGCGGGCATTATAGCTCTGATCCACGGAACGACCTCGCCGTCGTCGTCGTTGTGTTTGCTCCATCCATTTCCATTCGTATCCAGGCTCCAAGCGCGCTCTGAGTGCTTGTCGCTCCAGCAGCAAGGGATGAGAGAATGACGAGTGGGTAAAGCTGGTGGTTGACGTGCCGTCCCATGGGGCAATCAACACTGCTTGCATTAAATCAAATCTACTCTGAGTGTTTTTCACTTGGCTTCCCAAAGTAAGGGATGGCTGTGCCTTATTCATAAGCATTTGAATATGTCAAAGCCACTGAAGCCAAATGAACTTTTACACTGTGATGAAAGTTTGGGTAAGATGGGCGGGATATGTTGCACAGATATAAGGCCGCAAAACCCAATGTTATGATCAGCAGCCAGCCGGAAGTTGAAAGAAACATCTTTTAATTATTTAGAATCCTGAACAACATGACAAATCGGAATGTGACTGTGATTTTGCTGTGTAGAATGTAAACAACATTTCTATCAACCAATCAGCTCTGCTCCTTTTCTTTGTTTCTTCTTTCAAGCTGCATAATAGCCTGTTGAAAATCCCTCAGATGTCTGCTTCTTCATTTTATTTTGAATATATATAATGGTTTATTATATTGAATAATCATAAATTGCGCACAAATCAATATTATATGAATTTTTCATTGTGTATGTTCCTACTCCAGTTTGTCTCCAGTTTGTTATCGAACATTGGCTGTAATAATAATAATAATAATAAAAATTAGGTTAAGTAAAAACATAATAAATGTGTAATATAGTGCATATATTTAGCAACATTCATTTATAGCTCAAACAGTAAATTAAATAATATATTTTAAAAAAGTTAAAATTAGTATAGGGACGATTTTTGTACACTATAACAGAACAGTAATTTGAAGTAGTCTTTAAAGTTGTATCAAGAGGAATAGGAAGTTAATAATTAATAATTATAAGTTAAAAGGGTGGTTGATTATGATTTCACTTTTCGAACTTTAGTTAGTGTGTAATGTTGCTGTTAGAGCATAAACAACGTCTGCACTGACCCAACAAAATGGGGAAAAGGAATTATTAAAAACATGTCTACAATTTACAATTTGGGGATATATGTAATCTATGTAAAATCTTCAGATGAATTGAACCACAAAACCAGTCATAAGGGTCAATTTTTCCGAAATTGAGATTTATACACCATATACAAGCTGAATAAATAAGCTTTTCATTGATGTATGGTTTGTTAGGATAGGACAATATTTGGCTGAGATACAACTATTTGAAAATCTGGAATCTGAGGGTGCAAAAAAAATCTAAATATTGAGAAAATCTTCTCCAAATGAAGTTCTTAGCAATGCATATTACTAATCAAAAATTAAGTTTGAATATATTTACAGTAGGAAATGTACAAAATATCTTCATGGAACATGATCTTTACTTAATATCCTAATGATTTTTGGCATAAAAGAAAACTCAATCATTTTGACCCATACAATGTATTTTTGGCTATTGCTGCAAATATGCCCCAGCGATTTAAGACTGCTTTTGTGCTCCAGGGTCACAATTGCTTTCATACGATTACAGATTGATATTGTTTTAGCAATTTTCCCAAACTTTGTCCCAGATATCTTCATCAATTGCAACTGATGAATAATTTCCCCTTCCCATAATTTCCGAATTCTCTGTGTGTCCGTGCCAGTTCGATCACATAAGGAATTATAAAAAAAAGACTAATCGAAACTTTCCCAGATGTTTGAAACAATCATTTCTCAACTGACGATATTTCAACATTTTCATTTAATGTTTTGCTTCTTTGAATAAAATGTCTGATTTGCAGAAATCTGAAAAAATTCTGACTTTGGGCATTTGTATTCATCCATAATCTGTTGAAATGACATTAGGTTAAAATTTCAATAAACGAGCGTGTACTACAATTACGAGCCATTCTATAAGGTGACATTTCAGCACTTGATAAACGGATAGCGACTCGTAAGTAGCATGGCTATGTGCTATCGCGTTAAGTGCGTTTTTTGGGAAACGCATGTGAAACAATAACGAACGATCGTAAAATGACTCGTAGATAATGCTCTTAAGCTGTTAGATCAATCGTTATTGAGAAACGCAGCCCTGTATGATGAGCAAGAGTCTGGAGGCTTCCCCTTTTTTAGGATAAGTGAAATGTTTGCATCTTGTAGGGTTCGAGGCAGGCCTTTACCGGACAAAGAATCATTAAACATCTTAAGTAATGGGTCAACCAACACATCCTCAAACTCTTTATAAAACTCCAGGAGCTTTTCCACTTTGTAACATCTTTATGGCAATGGCAAATTTATTTATATAGCACCAGTAATTACAACCCATGGTTGTCCCAGTGTGCTTTACAACAAAATAAAAAATAAAAAATGAAAACACAAAAACACATTTACTTAAAAATACACAAAGTATCATAAAAAAACAATAATATGTAAGGCAGGAAAGTATTAATACAGATTATAAACCTTGTCAAACAAATACGTTTTTAAGCTAGATTTAAAAGCAGATACAGATTTATTGCCCCCACCACCTCCTCTCGTGTAATAGGTGCATCAGGAATATCTCTTTGCTCATCTGTGATTGTAGACGGATTAATATCGGAAAATAAATCATCCATTGTCTTTGAAGCAGTAATAGTTTGTTCAGAGGTATACAGATTTATGTAAAAATCTTTAAAAGCCTCATTCATTTATCAAAAAAACGATTACCATTAGAATCAATAACAGGCGTAATGTATTGAGAAACAGATCTCTTCTTGGTTAGATATACCAAAAACCTTCTTGGTTTGTCCCCATGTTCATAATATTTTTGTTTAAAATATCTAATCTTTTTTTTTTTCTTTTAGCATTGTTTCCTTTTCTTGTGTCAGAAGACAATCCAACCTGGATCTGAGGGCTGTGATCTCATTCAATAACATAGGAGAAGGGGTTTTAAAGTACATTTCTTCTTTCTTGGATAGTTCTTTCTCCAATGTTTCCTGCTTCTCTCGTTTTTTCCATTTCTTATAAGCAGAAGATGAAATGACTATGCCTCTAGTATAGGCCTTACAGGTCTCCCACAAAAGAGAAGGATCATGTGTGGATTTCTGATTTGTCTCAAAAAAGAATCTAAGCTCATTTCTAAAATGAGATGTAAATGTGTGGTTTTCAGAATCGTAGGATTTAATCTCCAGTATCTAGGTCGAGCGAACTCGAGACCACACGCTCCCACAACAGACAGAACATGGAGCGCGAGTGTCCGGTCTCCGAAACGTAACCGAAACTCAAGACCTGAGTGCCGGGATCCGAAAACCACGCTCCAACATGAAACAGTGCACGCAGACGAGAGCGCACGGCTCGAGCACTCTCGAAGCCGCACGCTCACATGAAAACAAAGACATGACGGGAGTGTCAGGGCTCTGTCACAAAACCATGAATTACACTAGACCGAAGTGACAGAACCCTGACCAAAACCAACAACAAAAACTACTCCGTGGGGGAAAAACAGGCTGGCAAGGCTAGGCAAGGCAGGATCTGGACACGACAGGACAGGACACATCCAGGGAGATATGGTAACGAACTGACCCCAGACTGCAAAACACAGGGAGAATAAATGGAGAGCAAATGAGGAGGGTAACGAGGGAACACATGTGGGGCAAATTAACCAATAATCAGGTAACAAGATGGGTGGGGTCAAGACAATTGACATGAGAGCACATGGCACACAGGAAACAAAGACAAAAGCCATGTGCTCACACAAAACAAAACACAAGCACATGGCCAGCCAAACAAATCACAAGCCATGTGCTTGAACAAAAAGACACGAACACGCAGCTAATGAGAAAACTCATAAGCCGCGTGTTCACACAAGACAACAAGAAAAGCACGCGGCTGAACACAAACCGCGTGCTACACAAAACACGTGGACAGAAGAGCGCACGGCCGAGCGAACTCGAGACCGCACGCTCCCACAACAGACAGAACATGGAGCGCGAGTGTCCGGACCCCGAAACGAAACCGAAACTCAAGACCTGAGTGCCGGGATCCGAACACCACGCTCCAACATGAAACAGTACACGCAGACGAGAGCGCACGGCTCGAGCACTCTCGAAGCCGCACGCTCACATGAAAACAAAGACATGACGGGAGTGTAAGGGCTCTGTCACAAAACCATGAATTACACTAGACCGAAGTGACAGAACCCTGACACTAGCCCCCCTCAAAAGGGACGCCACCTGGCGTCCCTAACGAGGAACACCAAAAACAAGACAGGACCATGACAGCACACGACCAGAACAAACATGACAACAAGACCGATACACCACAGACAACACAAGACAGGAAAAATCTAAACACAGAGACAAGGAGGGGAGGGAGGGAGGGGAGCCAAGCCAGTGCCAGCGGTACAGCCCAGAAAGTAATTACAGGAACCAGGGAGGGGCGGGAGGGTTGAGCCAGGGAGGCTCAGGCAGCCCAGGAATCTCGGGGAGCCAGGGCGGGACCGGAGGAACAGACCAGGGAGGCTCCGGCTTAACCAGGACCCCAGTAGGCCACCAGGGCGGAGCCGGAGGGACGTACCAGGGAGGCTCCGGCTTAACAGGAACCCAAGTAGGCCCCCAGGGCGGAGCCGGAGGGGGCTTGGCAGGCAGGAAGGGTGGAGCCCGTATCAAGGCGGGAGCCGGCATCAGGGCAAGGAGCTTGGGCGTCGCCGGCAGGGCCAGGAGCTTGGGCGTCGCCGGCAGGGCCAGGAGCTTGGGAGGGTCTGGAACGGCCTCCAGGGGATGGAGGATGGAGGAAGCCCTTTTCCTCCTCCTCCGTCTCCGAGAGCGGGGCACTGCAATTTCGTCGCTGGGGGCGCGGCCACCTTCGGGGGCGCTGCGGCCTCTTCGGCCGCCTCATGGGGAGCTGCAGCCTCTTCGGCCGTCTCTAGGGGCGGTGAGGCGGACCCATTCTTCCTCCTCCCCCTCCTCCGTTTCCGAGAGCAGGGCAATGAAGCATCGTCGGCCGCCTCTGGGGGAGCTGCAGCTTCATCAGCCGCCTCTGGGGGAGCAGCAGCTTCGTCAGCTGGGGAAAGTGCCAAAAACTCCACAAATCCCCCAAACGTCAGGTGGTCCAGCCCCCTCATTCTCCACCAATTGAGGGGCTCATAAATGGCATAATTAAAGAGGTCCTTGAGGGCCGGCTCATTAAACCCCAACCCCTCTGCAGCACCGCTGAACTCCAGGGCAAAATTCCTCACGTCAGCCCCCTGTTGACGGAGGGAGCTCAAGGTCTTAAATTGGAGCATGCGCTGGTAGTGGGGGCTGGAGAGAGTGGAGGCTGGTGGACGGCGCAAGCCCTTCCTCCGCTGAGTCCTCATAAACAAGACAACATGAAAGCACACAGCCAGTGAAAAACCCAAGCACAGGACAAAACATAACAAGAAAGCACACAGTTGATATAAACACGAGCTGCATGCAACAACACGAGACAATGAGAAACACAGAAAACAAGAACACAACAACACACGCGGACAGAAGAGCGCACGGCCGAGCGAACTCGAGACCGCACGCTCCCACAACAGACAGAACATGGAGCGCGAGTGTCCGGACCCCGAAACGAAACCGAAACTCAAGACCTGAGTGCCGGGATCCGAACACCACGCTCCAACATGAAACAGTGCACGCAGACGAGAGCGCACGGCTCGAGCACTCTCGAAGCCGCACGCTCACATGAAAACAAAGACATGACAGGAGTATTAGGGCTCTGTCACAAAACCATGAATTACACTAGACCGAAGTGACAGAACCCTGACAAATACTGTATCTAATACTAATACAGTTAAAGTAACACACAAGCAGGATCCGATATAACTATATTTCCAATATGACTGTCAGTTATTGAGTTGAGTAAAGTCCAGGGAATAAAAAAATAATCTATCCTCATATGACACCTATAGGGGGCTCAAAAGAAAGTAAATTCCTTACCCAAGGGGTGGAGGAATCTCCAAACATCCACAAAACCCAGGTCTCTGCATATTGCTTTTAAAGATTTCGCTTGTGGGGAAAGTGGAGATATTTTATGGGGAAATCTATCCATATCAGGGTTCAAAATACAATTAAAATCCCCCCTACTATTACATTTTCACTATTCAACCCCTTGAATTCCAAAAATTTTAGTGAAAAAGTCTGCTGGGTGAGCAGGAGGGCAATAGATATGCATCAAAGAAACTCCATGTCCCTGAATGAAACTTTTAAGCATAAAATATCGCCCATGTTTGTCACATACAGATGTTCTAATTTAAATGGTACACTCTTGCTTACTAATTTATAATTTAATCAATTTTATTTTATAATTCATTTATTTTATTTATTCTACTTGCTTACTATTGCCACTCCCCTACTTTTAGATGAAAAGGATGAAAAAAAATACCTGCTCAAAGCCACCTTGTTGTAACTTGGCATGTTCTGTATTATCTAGGTCCATTTCTTGCAGAAATGCAATATCAATCTTTTCTTTTTGAAGATAGTTTTTTTTTTTTTTTTACGTTTTATGGGACTGTGGAGCCCCTTGACATTCCAGGTGCATATTTTCATACAGTTATTAGTCATAACATATTATATAGAATTGAGCCTAGGATTTCACAACCTTTAAACCAAGATCTAGATGAATTACTGAGCTGTTTAAGAGAAATAATAAATAAATAAAAATGAAAAAAGGTATTAAATAAACCAAGCTTCCAAAAAACAAACAATATCAAACATACAATGGGTAAATTCCTGTTACTTAACCCATCAGGGAGCACAATCCCAAACTTAACATATATATATATCCTCAAATGAGTTACATGTCAAACAAATAAAGAGAACAAAGATGAGGCTATTCCAACTCAAAACGCTCCTGTCCTTTATCAGATTTAAACCCTAATCCAGTCGAACAATTAACCATGCCCACGAGAAGAACATTTGTACCATTGGGCTGTTTAACGTGACTCACTCTCTTCCATAATTACAGCATAACCCACCGTGATAATGTCCAGATATTATGCGACAAACCTGCCTCAAATTACTCCAAAGATTCCACAAATGCAGTTGGGCTGCTCAATTTCTTTGCTTTACCATCGATCATCACCCTGAGTGTTGCCGGGTATAGAAGTGCGTATTCGAACTTCTTCTCCTTCAGCTATGCTTTGACTTAATCAAAACTTTATCAGTGCCGCTGAACAGTTATTAAAAAACATGATCCTTGGTGATTTTCCATCTCCAACATGCCGTGCTGTATCCATAACTTGCTGCTTGTCCACGAAGTTGTGAATCTTCACGATCACCAGCCTAGGGTGCTGATTCGGATCTGGTTTCGGCACTAGCGAACGGTGAGCCCGATCCAATTGATGCGCCCAGCTTTTGTAGTCATATGTAAATAAGACTTTTTCTAAGGCCTCCTAATGTTTCTAAGGCCGCCGTCTTTACATCCACGGTGGTGGTTAAGGTCTCCACAGCAGCGATTCTCCCTTCCGCGTCGCCGATGCGCTGATTCATCGTCTGAAGTTGAGCTGTTTGATCATGAATTGCTTGCAATACCGAGCTAATTTTAGCATCTATAGCGCACATAATGTTTTCAGTCATCTTTTCCATTGCTAGTAACAGATTCGGCTCCGCTTCATCGGCAGGTGTGGAAGCCTCCATGTTGGCTTGGTGGTCTTCGACCGTCCCCGTTTTCGTCTATTTTTTTTTATATTTCTTGGACTTAGTACTGGACGGTTTTGCAAAATAATCTTCCAGACTCATTCTTGCACAAGAAATCAGCCAGTTTACCAAGTTAGCAGGGGCTTAAAAGGATAATTAAACTATTATTGCAGGAGCTCAACTAGGTTGAGTCTCAACACTACAGCGCCATCTTCCCCCCCACAAACTGGTTTCTTGAACAGTCACCAGATTTCAGTCCAATAGAGCACCTGTAGGATGTGGTGCAATGGGAGATTTGTGTCATGGATGTGCAGCCGATAAATCTGCAACAACTGTGTGATGCTATCATGTCAATATTGACCAAAATCTCTGAGGAATGTTTTCGGCACCCTGTTGCATGTCACAAAGAATTAAGGCAGTACTGAAGGCAAAAGAGGGTCAAACCCGATACTAGCAAATGTATCTAATAAAGTGGCCAGTGAGTGTATAAAATTAAGGTTGTCAAAAACAGACATCCTGAGGGTGACGTGAGGTCCTAATGTACTTTAATGGGTCCTGTGCTCGCAGACCATGGCTTTATGCACTGTGATTGGCATTTGCCAGTGATCACCAGAAATGGCATGTCCGCCTCTGATGCCCAGTTCTCTTAACGGATGAGAGCAGGTTCACACAGAGCACATGTTTTAGATGTGTAAGAGTCTGTATATGTGGTGGGGAATGTTATGCTACCTGCAACATCATCCAGCATGTTTTGGTAGTGAGTCAGTGGGTCATACTTCCATGTGCTAGACAGCAGTGCCCTCACTACTACTGTCAGAACTTACACTGGTGCAGTGGGCCCTGGGTTCCGTGACAATGCCTGGCCTCATGTGGCCAGAGTGTGTAGGGAGTTTCTGGATGATGAAGGCATTAATACCATTGACTGATCCCTTATGTTCCTCAGACCTGAATCCAATTGAGAACCTCTGGGACGTTGTATTAAAGGATCTGAAGCCACCAACAGACTCCACACCAGGAGGTCACTGATGCCCTGATGAAGGTCTGACAGGACATCCTCTAGGACATCATCCACCATCTCATCAGAAGCATGCCTAGACATTGTCAGGAGCGTATACAGGCACGTTAAGGCTGTACGAATTACACACAATGTATGTAAGTAAAGATTTGAATATTTTATTAATTGAGATCCAATACATCCCATACATCACTGTTATAATGGCAATTAAGCTGCTGAGAGGAAATGGTGCAAGTCTAAACACTGCTGACCTGAGAAAGTACCATTCTCTCCTGACCTCTTTATCCTCTAGAGTTTCAGCTGCCACGACTACTACCAAAACAAAATCAGCAACACCTCTGCTACCCGTAGATGTTTCTCTCCCCTCAATCTACATCCTCTTACTTACCACATTCCATTATTCTCTTCCTTCTCTCCCCTTATGGAGAATGAGTTCTCCAAATTTCTCTTTGCCAGCCATCCAACAACCTGTCCCTTAGGCCCTATCCCCTCCCACCTACTTTAGGAGATCTCACCAATATTGCTATCCACATCATCAGCATGTCCTTCACTACTGAAAAAATTCCCACCGGTTTTAAACAGGCTCAGGTAACCCCACTTCTCAAAAAGCCAACACTTAACCCCACAGCAGCTGTAAATTACAGACCAGTCTCTCTTCTGCCTTTTCTGTCTAAAATGCTTAAAAGAGTTGTGTTCAATCAGCTCTCAGCTTTTCCTTCACAGAACAACCTACGTGACAACAACCAGTCTGGCTTTAAAAACATACACTATTGACCATTGCTAAAAGTCTTTGGCTGGCTCCAAATCATCTGTTCTTATTCTGCTGGACCTTTCTGCTGTCTTTAATACTGTTAACTACCAGATCCTCCTGGTGGTTTCAGTCATACCTCACCGGCAGATCTGCCAAAGTCTCATGGAGAGGAAGGGTGTCTTAGTCAAATCAACTAATCACAGGGGTGCCTCAAGGTTCAGTGTTTGCTCCTTTTCTTTTCTCCATTTACACATCCTCACTGGGCACGATCATAAAGGCACATGGCTTCTCTTAAAACTGCTATGCAGATGATATGCAGCTCCATCCTTCATTTAAACCTGATGGTCACACTGTCTTAGCCGTATCTCCGCCTTCCTTTCAGACATCTCTGCTTGGACGGAGCATCATCTGCAGCTCAACCTTGCAAAGACAGAGCTCCTTGTAATCCCTGCAAACCCATCAGTTGACCACAACATCATTGTGCAAGTGGGATGTATAACACCAACACCAACCAGGACGGCAACCAACCTGGGCGTAGTGGTTGATGACCAGCTGAGCTTTTTCACCCATAGCTCAACAATGTCCCGGTTATGCAGGTTAGCGCCCTACAACAAGAAATCAGGAAAATCAGACCCTTCCAGTCAGAATATTTTAGTTACAACTACTAACCCTAACAATAATTTAAAGACCGGACTACTGTAATGCTCTATGGGAAGGCTTTCCAACCAACTTGACTAAGCCTTTGCAGATGATTGTCTAGTCTTCAATCAGCTAAACAGTACCCATGTTAAATTTAAAGTTCTGACGCTGGCTTTCAGGACCATCACTGGAACAGCTCCTCCCTACCTCAACTCACTACTACAAATGTATCCCACCAGCTAAGGTCACTGAATAAGTGTCTTGTTGTTCCCTTGCCTCAATGAGGCAAAATGTCACTCTCCATAACTTTCACCCTTTCTGTTCCTCTCTGGTAGAAGTCCACCCGAAGTGCTGTGACCATCACATCTTTCCAGAAACAGCTTGTTTCCTAATCTAGTTGTCTCATAAATCTGGCTTTGCGTTCCTCTTTTGTAAATCGATATGGATAAAAGCATCTGCTAAATGTAAAGCAAATACGTATGAGTGCTTTAAGCTATGCATCTACACATTAACTGGCAACTAGCCCTGGTCTCCCCTATTTGCAAGTAATTATCATTAATAATTAATTTACAAATAATACAATATATTATTAGAGGCTCAACATCTTAAGAGCTTCATAAAAACACTAAATATAAAATAGCATCCTATAAGGTGTTTTTTATGTAGCATAATCCTTCACTCAGAGCACACAAAATAAAAATACACGACAACTGTTTCAGAGGGGAATAATTCTTGGAATGGATCATGGAATTTTTCTAATTTTTCTCTTTCTTTCTCTCTTTTAGCTGAGATTTCTCTTTTTCTTTTCTTTTCTTTTTTGTTTGTTGCAAATCATTTTATTTTAGGCCAATTGGAACAATCTTTTTTTCTTTATATTCCTCTTGCTCACCCCCATTCCAACATCTTTATTGATTAGCAAACATGCAGCTGTTAGAAATCCATTTTACAAACAAAGAACTGAAAAATACATCCATAGATTTTTCAATTTTCAAACAGTAATAAAGTCAAAATCTATTTATGCTAAATGTATGACATTGCACTAATGTGATGTAGTAAATCTGTTGTACAAATGATCAAAATCCATTCTTTAAATTCACACAGTCCCAAGTCTTCCTATTAGACTTGTGTACAAAACCAACATTAAGACCTGCCAGACCTTATATGAGTTACTGAGAAACTGAACCATTGTGGATATTGATAACATATTGTACAATCAATCGGAAAGAGTGGGGCAAACAGGTATATCACTGAATGTTTGGATTCAAACGGCATAGTAACGTGCTATTAAATGTCACATCAACAGTATATATAATAAAGTCTCAAAGCTTTACACTGGTCCTTCATTAAAAGGAACTATAAACTTATATCTTAATTGTTTTAGCAAAGTATGTAAATATGATTATTAAAAAAATATATATGCATTCGTACATATATTTTCTTTTTTCCAAATGAACACACACATACAGACGCAGGCATGCTATTGGATCATATTTAAGGTTACAGAAATGGTACTTTTTTTATACCCATTTCTGGAGGACCAGGCTTTTGAAACGAGTGGAGTGTCATATAAGACAACAAAAAAAATAATCTTCAAAGTATAGTGTAATCATACAAGATCATTAAAAAAAAAAAACAGCATGATGTTTAGTTTAAGTCACACGGTCACTAAATAGGCCTCTAAGAGTCATGAATGTGATTCGTTCAGCGATTCATTCATTCTAATGGCTAAAATAATGAAGAGAACAGTCATTACTACTGCAACCATTTACAAAATATACACACAAAAAAATAAAAATAAAAAATACAAATCTCATAAAACGTCAGCTGCACACTGACGATATAAGGCGTAAATGAAGTGTAAATCAATTCTGAATACATTCACAACACCTCTGTTCATATGTTACCTCAATTAACAATAATAATTTTCTGTGACCCTCATCCAAATCTCTTTTTGGTTTTGGAACATCACATAGACGTGAGAAATAAATATGAACAGCCGGACACACTGACCAACATGAAGTATGCCACACATAGAGTCTATATTTACAGGAAGTGGCACATTAATCTTGAGGAGGAGGAAAAATAATCCACCTGGGGATATGTATATTGCCTAAACTTTAGAGAGCAGATACAAGTGTTTTGAAAGGGTTTGACATCATTGGGGTATATCGTTTCTTAACAACGGAAAGAGATGCCTTTAATGGGAACAATTCCAAATGAGTGCGTCCATCAGGAGAATTTCTACCACAGGCCAAAATGGCACAAATGTTGTGAGTTACTGATATCTGGTCATGCACAGTGAAACAAAATGTTTCCTAGTTGAAACATTTTGCATTCACTCTCAGCAAAAGTGAGAGTTTGATATATATAATTCAGAGATTTCAGTGACAGAAACACTGCAAGTCCCCACAGACGTCTCACATTCTCTTATATTCTCCCGTATGGAGAATGCCATTAGCCGTTTCATTTTTTCCAATTCTCAAAATACTGAAAACCATTTAAAAAAAAAGACTCTTTGTCTTATTCAATCAAATATACTTAAATTAGAATTCACAAACAGAAACTAAAAATGAGAGTCCTTGAACAAAAAGTGGTGCCGTTTCCCCTTCCTCATCGCCTCCATGAGCGGCTCTCATATTCATCTTCTTCGTCATCATCTTCTTCCTCTTCCTCTGGAAGCAGAAAGGGGCTGACTGGCTCCTAGAAGTAGGAGTAAAGATAAACATTTAAGAAAAAAAAATGCAGTATAAACAAAGTAATAACATTTTACTTACACATTCAATACATAACACTGCTAATTATATATTTAAAATACAATATCATTACGTGTAATCTGGCCGTCTAATTACCGTCATTACATGAATTCCTGCGGCGTTGACCACTTCCTTTGACTCTTCCTCTTCTGGTTCAGTGGACACGGATGGAGTTTTGGGTTTGTACCATGAGATCTGTAAAATTCGACCTTTGAACTTCGCCCCTTGGTTTGCAGCCTGAAAAAAAGATGATTTAGTGCTGTTAAATTGAACTAACATCATACAATAAAGTTTACATTTAAAACTAACGAAAACAAACAAACAAAAAAAAGTCACAGTACGTTTTCCGCTTCACTTCGGGTTTTGAAGGTCATCACGACACTGGTAGCATCATGGTCACGAAGCTCCTCAATCTCGCCAAATTTCTATACAAGTCATAAGGGTTGATCCTAAATTTAGTGATATACAAATATATACAAATTAAGACACAACCTGCACTATTTAAACTCAAGTCTTACCACGAAATGCGGCATGAGCTCCTCCTTCTCTTCCTGTGTGACGCCAATGATAGCGAGGGCTCGAGGCCGGTGGTCTACTACCATGTGATTGCCTCCTCCACGCCCCCTCAGGCTCCGCCCTCGGCCCCTCCCTCTGCCTCGACTTGGTGCTGCTGGTGGCTTGCCCCGCCCAGCTGGGATCAATCCCAACCATGTTGCCTATGCGATTTTAATACAGAGGGTGGATGTGTTAACAAAACTTATGACAAAAAATATAAAGTTTTTATATATCATGATATATATAAAAAACTTGATATAAAAGTGAACAATGGTAAAACAACTACATATGCATAGATGGGTTTCAGCATGTTTTATGAAAGTTAATGTAAGACTTTTAAACACCTTTTTAAGACCAAGAAAATGGTAATTTTTACTGTATAGTCTCATCACACTGCAAAAAAAGTAAGGCCCGTCAGTATTTTTGTCTTGTTTTCCAATGCAAATGTCTAAAGATTCATGAATCAAGATACAGTTACTCAAATCAATTTCATTTTTTGAGCAAACGATCAAAATGAAGCCAGTTTGATTAAATCCAGAACAAATATCTGCCAATGGATTCAGAAAAATCAAATTCAAAGGAAAAACAAGTTTTCATACCCCATTGACAGATTGTTCTCGTTTTAAGCCAAAACTCACTTTATTTTGTTCAATTTCTTGGAAGACAAGACTTAATTTCTTCATTTTGCATCTCAAGTAAATGATTCTTGATTTAAGGGGTGCTCAGATATTTGTATTGGAAAACAAGACAAAAATACTGAGGACAATATCACTTTTTGCAGTGAATGCAATATTTAATGGCATGACTTTATGAGTTTAAGACCTTCTGCTCCATCTTTTTTATGCCTTAATTTGTGGAAGGATGAACTGAGACTTTTTAAGATGCACAGGATCCCTGTATATACACTTAATCGAAGTACATTTTCATGAATGTTTGTATGTATGTATATATACACACAGATACACATACATACACACAACTCTTTTGCATTTTGTCTGGTAATATATATTATTAATATATTATTATAATAATACCCAACAACATCAATTTCAGATACACTACCAGTCAAGAAGTTTATACACACCTACTCATTTTATATTATTACTATTGTTCACATTTTAAAAGAACAAGGTGAACAAAGCTATGGAAGTATGGGAACGGTGTAGTGAGAGCTTCCAAAAAGTACTAGACTTTGAAAGTTGCCTAACCTTTACCCTGACTGCAAATTAAAAAATGATAAGCCATGGAGTGACAAAAGCCACACCAAATGCTGGTCATTTCTCTTTCATGCCCTGACTAAACAGTCTTTCAGCTAGTGCAGTTTCTTCCGTTCGCTCTCTTCCATTAATCGTCTTCCCTTGATCTTTCGCTCATTTCTTACATGGGAGCCGATCAAACTTTAATGGAATGAGAAGCATCAGCGTGCGGAGAGGGATGTGTGTTGTTTAGGGACGGGTCCTTGGGGTTTGGGAAGTGCTCAGAGTTAAATGTGCAGGAGATGAAGTGTAATGACATGCATATTTCACACCAGCTAATTTAAGCCCAGTGCCAGCAGTGATGTTTCTGTTGTCACTCTTGTTTTAGGAACGCTTATGTTAGGACTGAGTGTGAGACTGTGTTTGAGTGAAATGAATTATGCTGGCTCTGGGTGTGCACATCTGTCTCTTTTGTTTAGGGGGGAAAAAAGCTGAGGAAAAAAAAAAAAAAAGTATGACAAAGTATGGTATAGCAACTACAGAGCTCTAGACTAACATTTGAGAGCCAAGCTCTATAGCGCCAAAAATAATTAATAATTGTTTTTTTTTGTGTTTAATGCCATTCCAGCTTCTGTGGCTATTTTCATGGTGAGGAATATTATGGCTGAATTATATCATGTTTTTATCATTTATGTTTGCTAAAAACTCAAACTGTATGTGGCATAAAATCTTTTTTTTTAGGTTTCTCAACGAGTTAAAACCAGCACAATCTAATAAAACATGCGTAATGGAAAAAGGGATTCGGCAGAGAGAGCATGTTGGAGGATCTAATAATTATTAGAGCTGTCAGTCGATTAAATTTTTAAAATCTAATTAATTACATGATGTTTCGATTAATTACTCTAATTAAATTAAATTAAATTTAAAATTTGATTGTGAAAATACCCACAAAAGATTTTTTAAAGCTATTTTTGTTAAATTAGAAATATTTATTTGATTCAACAAAAAATGTATTACACAAACATTAAGGCTACAACAGCCTAACAAACTATGGAACATAGAAGATCATTTGAGAAACATCTCAGTATTGTTTGTTCATACAATGAAAGTCACTGGTAACCAAAACAGCTTAGTTACCAACAGTCTTCAAAATACCTTCTTTTATGTTCCACAAAAGAAAGGTTTGAAATGACATGAGGGTGAGTAAATGATGACAGAATTTAAATTTTTTTGGGTGAACTATCCCTTTAATGTTATTATTATTATTATTATTATTAATTAAATGGTACTCTAAATAAGAAACTAAATCTGCCAGCAGGTGGCGGTAAATGTCTTCATTCGATTCGTTCAAAAGGCTGATTCATTCAGGAATGAAGTAAATGGCTCTCTTTATGAATGGGCCTTTGAATCATTGTTTCACACGATTCGTTCAAAACGCGGATTCATTCAGAAACTAAACACCGCTGTGTTGCTCGGAGACGCACAACTGTTCTGCTATGGCTTTAAAGGTAATTATGTTCTCTGCAAAATTGAGCAAAAACACGTAATATTGTGTTTAAAATATAACACAATATCAACTTCTTATTTACTGAACTGTTGTATAAAATCACATTTAAACTCATGATATTCGGGACAAACAGCAGATACGGCTTATTGTATGATATAAATATGAGACAAAAACACATAAAGAGGCATTTTTGCACCAATATCTTGAATTTTAGGGCATAACTGCATTTATGGAGTTGTTACCCTGCATCATATTTGTCAACAGTATGGAATGTAAGATGATGTACAGGTTTGGGGACGGGGGCCAGTGCGTTAACTGCGTTAAAACATTTTAATCACGTTTTTTAAATTTTTTATAACTAATTAATTAAGTTAACACATTAAACTAACAGCCCTAATAATTATTAATTATCTTAATTATTAATATGACATGTTTTGTCTTATGGAATTGCACATTTGAAAGTGGCTTGCGTTGACAGTAGCAGCAGCTTGAGCTGGAATGCAGATATTAACGTATTTAATTGACAAACATTTATTTAAAATTGTAGCAAACTAATTTTTATAGGCTAAAATGTAAATATTCTGACTGAGAGTTAGGACTCTAATCTTATTAAAATTATCCACTGCTAGTATCACACATTTGTAGATCGTGAGGTAAAACCATGCATCACTAACACAGTAAAAAGTAACTATATGATTTCTATTGTTCTATAAACTATAAATGCACAACACCTGCTAATAGCAGCGTTTTAATGGCACTATAACAAGCTTAATTTTCTTCCCACAAAATATAATTTCTTCTTTTTTTTCTCACTGTATATCGGCATCTACCACTGAAAAACCCTTATCAGATGTCAGAGGGGCCACTTACCTCCACCTGCAACTGACCCAACCTCCTCTTCAGGTCTGTGGTGTCTTCTCCTGACGTCAGCTTCTTATGGAAGTCCAACTCTGCGTCAAGCAACTCTTTCTGTGCCTACAGATGAAATAATAGTTATACTTAAATTCAGTAAGATCTTATAAAACAAAGGTGGCAATCTCTATGTAACTACAGATTCGAAGTTCTGGCTATAATCAGATATCAGACACTATGATCTGTGCTATGGCATCAGAAGCTTCTTTCAGCAGTAACACCAGGTCTATAAGAGTTGTCTTACGTCTGTTTTTGACTTTGTTTGTGTGCTGTTGGCAGTAGCTTGTGAGGTGGGGCTGATCTCATTCTTCAGCTGAGAGATCTTTTCTGTCAGTTCCTTGAGAGTCTTCATGATGTTGGCTCTCTCCTCTGGCTTCATCCCTCTGTTCTTTTCCAGGTGGTTTATCAGCACCTGCAGAAGACGTTTCAGGTTTAGTGTTACACTTATTGGCCAGATAGAACAACTGCCAACTATCGGCCGTATGACATTCAACATTACTCTCAAATGTGGATTTACAAAATAAAAATAAAAATTTAAATTTGAAATAAGAAAAATAAATAAATACACATATAAATGTGTAGGTTCATCCAAGATTTTAGCTTTTTGTATATAAACATATGTTTTGTTATTTCTTCCTACCTTCTGACATTCGATCTGTTTTTCAAGCATTTCTTGTTTCTTCTTCCTCATGTCTTGCTGCAGTTTCAGCGCCTCCTGAAGGCCAGAGGTCAGAGGCCACATTAGCTCACTCATAAGTACAATCCAGACTGTGCAATCCAAGCAGGTGGAGCTGCTGCTATCGGCTTACAGAGGTGAGAAGGAGAAAGGAAATACTCACCTGCTTCTTTTTCAAAACCTCCTGAGCCTCCAGTGCTTTGGCCGTTTTTCCCAATGATTTTGATGCAGTTTTCAACACTGTGCGTGAGAACGGACCCTTCGCTAAACTTGAAGGTGCTGTCAAACCCTTGTTTAACAGAGAAATTACAATTAGTGTTGACTGATTATGAACACATTGTGTATAAAAAAGAAAAAATAGTAATATTCAGCATCATTACCCCAGTCTTTAGTGTCACATGATCCTTCAGAAATCATTCTAATATGCTGATTTGCTGCTCAAGAAACATTTCTTATGTTAAAAAAGTTTTGAATGCTTAAACGTTTTGTGAAAATCATACACAAGCATTCAAAAATTTGGAGTTGGAAAAAAAATAAGAAATTAATAGTTTGATTCAGAAAGGACAAAAATTTGATCAAATTTTAATGTTACAAAAGATTTATATTTCATATAAGATTTCTAGAAATCTTATTTATTTCTATTTCATATGTTCTTCTTTTGAACATTCTAATCAAAGAATCCTAAGAAAAAGGTTTCATGCTTTCTACAAAATTACTAATTAGCAGAAACTAATTTCAACATTGATAAATAAAATGGTTCCTCATTAATAACTGCGCAGCACCAGTAATAACTGCTAATACTTGAGCAGTAAATCAGCATATTAGAATGATTTCTAAAGGATCACATGACACCGAAGATGAGTAGTGATGCTGAAAATTTAATTTTGGTATTACAGGAATAAATAACATTTTTAAAACATTCAAATAAAAAAAATAAGTTTAATTTAAATTGTAATAAAAATCACAATATTACTGTTTTTACTGTATTTTTGATCAAATAAATGCAGCCTTGGTGAGCTTAAGAGACTTCTGACAAACTTAATTATACCATGCTTTTGGTAGTGTATATACACATAAAACTATTAGTTGACCCTCGGGAAGAAATTAAAATGCTCTGTATGATAAGAACTTTTTAGAATGTCACATTCTAGCATGTATTCTCTCAGTCAGATGTGGGCAAACATTCATGTGCTTTCTTTACCACTGAAGGTTCCTGGCTTGGGCTGGTAGGTTCAGTGCCGCCCGTGGTGCCTGCGGCTCCTGTGGCAGTCTGCTGTTTAGGGAAGGTTTTATTATTCAGCACGTAAGATCCTGCTGTGTGCTGCTTATTAATGACCTGTGAACAAAACTAATTTCAGTCAAGGAATGTAGACAAATGGCAAACAAACTCTCATCCATAGATAAACGGTCACATGATACTAATGAATCATTTTTGGGTGCACTCTTAAACTGACACAAATGTTTCAATGAGGGCTGGCCAGTAAAGAGTCTGTTTCCCAAATATTAAAACACAATGAAATGTAGGAATATAACTGATTGCACATTCTAGTTTGAATTTTCTCACACACTTCGGACAGACCTTGTGTGTTGTGGGATGTTGGTGTCCAGGGTTTGTGCTCTGACTGGGTCCCTGTTCCTGTGTGTTAGATGTGGCCTCTCTATGCCAGTACACTCTGATGAAGCGGTTATTCAGAACGGCTTCGGTGCTGGAGATGGCCCTCCGAGCCTCATCATTAGCTGTATACTGGATCAATGCCGCCTCAGGGTCGCCCCCGAACACCACCTGTAGAAATCACAGGATAGGACGCAGTTTTACTTCAAAATTACTACAACAGTATTAGGTGATCTGTGTAACAAAAGCATTAGATGAACACAATGACATGCATTCAATTAAAACGGAATCTTTTTGAGAAAGTGTCCTGAGCATAACATGTATGCAGTTGATTTCCAAGCTAATCTATATAGAATGAGTACCTGGATGTTGACTATCGTTCCAAACTTGCTGAAGTGCTCATTGAGTTTGGTGATGTTGTTGAGCTCCCGGGGGATTTTGCGGACCTCTAGTTTGGTGTTTACATAATGGTTCTTTTTGGGGAAGGTGGGTTTATGCTGGTTATTGAAATGTTGTCTGTAAAACAGAAAAGACCCCATTACACCACAAAACAGGGCATCCTCCTCCTGTATCATTAGTGTTTTCTTCACGCTCCAGGATTTCATTACATATTCTATGCAACACACACTACAGGTCAAAAGTTTGAACTCCTGTATATTTATATATGTATTCAAATATACATACACTTGATATGATCTAACGGTTAAAAAAAAAAGTGTACATTTCCGTGTCTGAGGATAGAGCTCAGCTCACTCATCACTCACTTTTCCATCCAGGGTTTTTTGACCTGTGGTCCGTCTGTAGTTGGCAGACATCTCTTCCTGTTCTCTTGCTCAGAGCTGTACCTCACCTCGCCGCTCGACACTCTCGTGACGGATGGCTCTGTCTGGATTACTATGTTAGCCGCTAAAAACACAAATAAACCAAAGTTCAGTTACATGCTGCCAATGTGAACGAGTTTAAAACATTCATGCAATACACAAGCAAAACAGTCATTTTTGTGGGACTGATCTTTCACATCTGATACCTCGGGAGTTTTGTCCATCTCCAGAGGTGAGGCCGATGAGGTTGGGTCTCTGCGTCTGGATGCGAGGGATGAAATGGCGGTACTGAGCTCTGCCTGGCCCGGTCAGTCCTGGAGACTCTGGGTTATAGGCCTCAGGGTCATAGCTGTCTGTATGAGACACAAGACACACGTTAAAATATATGCACTGCATGCAGGGAAAAAAAAAGATTAATGATAGACACTGCTAACAAAACATGTAGCTTATTTCCATTTATTTAACAAGCACTGTCTCCAATAACAGAGAAATAAGCTCAAAAGCTGCAAGAAGTAAAATGCAACAACAGCACAACTACATGGTCAGAATCTGTTACTGCAGCCTTTAGGAAAAAAATATCCCTGATTCAAGTGAATTAAAGTACACACAAGACCAGAACCACCACCAACACAAAAAGGCTAATTTTTCTTTAAAGGGATCATAATTCCTTCCCTGAAGTCCACTTAAAGTGTCAGAGATGCTGATAATTAAAAAAAAATGGGATGGGAAAATCTGAGTTACTGGAGTATCTGTGCAGTGCATCAAAACCAGACGTTTTCTTCCAAAACAGCATGTTTTCCATGATATGACCCCTTTAAAACACACTTATAACAGTAAGCTCTAGAAGCACCACTGCTCAAGCCGAGAACAGAAAAGTGCAGTGGCTTACATTCAGAGAGAGTGTACTGAGGGTGGAGAGAGGCAGAAGTGGAGGAAGAAGAGGAAGGAGGTGGTGGTGGTGGTGGTGGAAGAGGAGGTCTCACTCCAGGCAGGGCCAAAGGGGAAGAGGTGCTGGTTCTGGAGTGGGGTGGAGTGTCTATCCTAGTAGCTGGGATTAGAGGAGGCCCTAAAACAAGACAAGAGCAAACTGAACTACACTCTCTACAGCTAATTTTATGACATGCTGTTAATATAAAGTCATCCTCAAGATTTAGAGTCCAAGATTTTGCTACATTTTATCAATTAACAAATGCATTTACTGTATTAGCCAGAATGTAAGTAACATTTTTTACTAATCTGAAACATGTTGGAGCTTAAATTCCAAAGCGCCTTGTATAATGCAATTAATGTCAAAAATGCAAAACATGTATAGTGCATTTCCCACATGCAGGTAGTATCAATTTCACTTAGAATAAATTTGTTTAGACTTGGCTTTTATAATAAATGTTGCATATAATGAAAGCCACTATAATTTCTGCTTGTTTTACAGTTTATACTTTTATATTTTTCAGTCGTTTTGTTCTGAATACTGTTAAACTCAAAGGATTTGTTGTAGAATGAGGGAAACTAAAATATGTGTTTTATAGTGTTTTTAATGTTTTGTTTTTATTCACGGTTGTTGTACATTATTCTGAATTAAACAATACAATTTGACTAATGCGACTTATCTGTGTGACCTTGTGCAAATTTGTATTCAGATGCAACTTATTTTCTGGAAAATACTGTGATGCATAGTGTAAGATTTTAATATCAATTGATAAACATTAAAATAATAATAATGACAAATATATATATATA